TGAAATTGGATGATACTTGTGGGAGTCCTTCTTGGGCACAAGCTTTGTCCGTACAGATCTCCAAATGTTATGGATGGTGCCACCCATAAGACACCGGTTGAAAATGGCGGTTAAAGGTTTCGCAAGATAGTCTGCACAGTGCTTTAGGACAAGTAGTGATAATGGGTTGGAGTTGGTAGCCTTATTTTACTCCGATCATTGGAATTCCCGGCAAACATTAAACCTGTCAGAGGTGACTACCGGATCTGTTTTGGTGAAGGGTGGCAAAATGCCCTATTGAGAAGAACAGAACTCAGCGTTGAGTTTTTTCACATCCACGTTATCAATGCAACTATGGGAACTTTAGCTAAATAGGTGTTTTAGAATTTTTCAAACATAGCAACAATCTGGATTTCCCAATTCACTCTCGATGTATAAACCGTTCAACCGTTTTATGTCCGATTTGATTTTCGAAGAGGCCCTTAACTTGTGTATTCATTTTACATTTATAGGCTTATTCTTTCTTTCTCTTAAGTTGCTTCAGTAGCGGCAAAAATACTCTATCCATCCGTGGGTAGATGGTTTGAACAGGGCAGCAGAAATGGAAACACAAGCTAATGTATTCAATCAAGCGGTTGCAATCCAAAACTAGTTTTTCGTTCATGAACACTGGAAAGTCCGTTGAACCCAGCGTTGCTTGGAGTTTTGTGAGTTTTTCTGTTGAGCATCCTCACCGTCTGACGGTTTTAAAAGGCTTCGTTATCAGGGGGGAAAATTTAGTCTTGCAGTATGTGGCTGGGCACACTTTCAGAATGTAGTGATCTGAGTTGCCGAGAGGAGCCCGCTTTAGTGTAGAGAACAACTGTGTTATTTGTGAAGACAAAAGCTGATTGTGTGTTCAGTCTGATTTCGAAATCCACCATATTTGTTAGACCTAGGGATTAGATAAATGCTATGTCACACTTGTTGAAGCCACCAAAAGCGATACAGATTGAGCTTTCGATTTTAGATAACAACGCTAGAGAAATATTATTGTCAAAAGTCCTCAACACAGACGGTGGTGTGTTATGAGCTATATAGACGTTTCCAATGAAAACAGAAAACATTCGCTCGAAAACTTTGGTTTACATTCAATTAAATGGCAGCAAAACTTCGATGATGAGTATGTAGACAACAAGGCTGCTGATTTCCACCAGAGTTGGGTAATGTAAATGATGCTACATCCTTCGAGATTACGCTTCTTTCCAGCTCAGTCCATCCTTATCACAGTAACTGAGTTGGATAATCTTCTCCTCTATGTCAGGATGGAGCCAACATATTCCCTACGCACCATAGTGACAACAAGGTCCGCGATTTTAACGAGGAGAGGACGCCCACTGCTGGAGAGAATGAGGGGGATTTGTTCTCCATTTACAGGACAGTGTCTGAGGTGAAATTACCAACCAGTGCGATGTTTTCTCATTTTACAAAAAGTTTTTTGAAAATTCGTCAGATGGTGTTTCTGACCTTGTTACCGCATTCGGCAAAACGTATCGTTTGCCCTGCGTTTTGAAACAATTTCATAAAATCAGCCGTGGTAGGATATCACTGATGATCTTAGAATTGTTTTGATAAACAATATACCGAGAACAGTTCAACAAAGTGGATACATCCACCGTAGTCGCGTAACAAACAGCACTCCAAGGGGGAAAACAGCAACGGCCGATTTGAAGGCCCCGGTTCCGGCTTTGCAAGGCACTGCGCCCGCCATAGGACAGCCAGTGGACGTCTGCCTCTACAGAGGGAGTATAGGTGGATTGCGTTGCACCGCACGCCGTTCGATCTACACATACACACCATAACCAGTGTAAAACCAAACGAATAAGATCCTGTGGCAAATAGCTGGAGCCATGTTTCATCAACACCATCATCATCATCATCACCATCATCATCACCACCATCATCATCATCATCATCATCATCATCATCATCATCATCATCATCATCATCATCATCATCATCATCATCATCATCATCATCATCATCATCATCATCATCATCATCATCATCATCATCATCATCATCATCATCATCATCAACATCCATCATCCTCATCATCATCATCATCAACATCATCATCATCATGCAGGCGCTTCAGGCGCGCCCAGCGGTTCCTACCGCGGTCTGCGCGTAGCCTTTACTAACGTATGCAGTCTGATGAACAAGCGGGATGTGCTGTACGACTTTGTAAGCTCACAGCGACCAGACGTATTAGGTCTTGCTGAGACATGGTTAAACTCCAAGGTAACCATCCAAGAAGTGGAAATCACCGGCTACTCATGTTTCCGCTGTGCTTGACCATCAAATAATCGCGGTGGCGTTCTACTTTACATAAAGTCTTCCTTGTGTGGGAGACTAGTGAGCGCCTACCAAAGCGTTGATGGTCTATGTGAGCAGTTATGGTGTTCGATTCACCTCAGACGCTGCGAGTTGCTCGTGGGCGTGGTATATCGCAGCCCACTGAGCCGCAGTTTGGACTGGTTGCCGCATGTCCGCAACCACATGAGTCGTCAGATGTTCCTACTCATGGGTGGTTTCAACTTGCCCCGAATACAGTGGCCTGAAGCTGAACTTCTCTCCGGCCACTGTGAAGTCGAGAGGAAGTTTACGGAGTTGCTATTTGAAACTGGGACCACACAGCACATCAACCAACCGACACTCATTACTGCGCGTGCGGCTCCATCATGTATAGACCTACTTTTGACTAGCTGTGAGCAGTGTGTACATAACATTCAACTCTTAAAGCCTCTGGGAGCGAGCGATCACTCGATGATCATAGGCAGCATGGAACTACCACTGCCGTATTCTCCCCCACTGGAGCCAACATTCAACTATTGGAAGGCGGACTTTAATGGTCTCATTCGAGCAGCGAGCCAGACGGACTGGTCTTTACCACAGGATTCATCTATTGAAACCTGTTGCACTATCATTAAAGAGGGATTGAAATCGTTGTGCGCCCGATTTGTACCCCTCAAATTTCGGAAAGTTGGGCCAGTCAAACCACATTGGTTCGACGAAGAGTACAACAAACTGGCCCGACGACGACGCAGACTATGGAACAAGTTAGTGTTATCTGGCTCTGATGAGGACTAAAATGCGTATAAGGTACAGCGAAATCGCTGCAACGACGCGAAAACAAGAAAACGCAGAAGCTTCGAAGAGGAGCTTGCGGCCGCCGCAAAAACTGCTCCCAAGAGGATCTTTGCATACGTCAAACGGCGCCTGAGGCCTGTAGCAAATGTCCCAGTGTTAGAAGGCTCCGACGGGCAGCCCTTAACCTCGAGTACAGATCGTGCGTCCGCATTGGCGACGCACTTCGCCTCCGTATTTGCAAGTGACCAGGTGTCTGTAACGAGTTCGACGAGTACCGCACCAGCCGAACTTAACAGCCTGGACTGCAATATTGAGGATGTGCGCAAGCCTCTAGCAAATCTTGACGGGACGAAGCCTGCTGGATCAGATGACATACACCCACTGATCCTCAAGTCCCTATCGGCCATCATCGCGACTTCTGTAACTAAACTGTTTAACAGATCCCTATCCACTGGACTGTTACCAGACGACTGGAAATGCTCAGTCGTAAAGCCTATACCGAAAGGTGGTAACCCAGGTAAAGGGAATAATGACCGGCCGATCTGCCTGATTGCTGTTTTGGCAAAGACGCTCGAGAAGATCGTGAAGAAGAATCTTCTGCAGCTTCTCGAGTCGAAAGACCTGTTGACCTCCGCACAGCATGGTTTCATGAAAGGTCGCTCGTGCATCACCAACCTACTGTTGACAAGGCACGAGTGGTTACAAGCGATGAACCAAGGCCATTCGGTCGATGTCATTTACATTGACTTCAGTAAGGCTTTTGACAAGGTTAACCATGCAGTGCTCCTTGACAGGCTGAGAATGTACGGTGTTGGTGGTTCGCTACACAAATGGATCAGAAATTTCCTTGTGGATCGGAAGTGGAGAGTCCAGGTGGACAACCATCTAACGGACTGGTATCCATCGAGCAGCGGCGTTCCCCAAGGCACTGTACTGGGGCCGATATTGTTTCTGATCCATGTAAACGATGTGCCTAAGCTACTCCAATCACCATGTGCGTTGTTCGCAGATGACTTGAAGGTGTGGAGAGTAATCCGCACACTCAATGATTGTGATTTACTTCAGCAGGATCTTGACAGCCTCTCAACATGGTCTGCAGAGGTTAACCTTCCGATCAATCCTGCTAAGTCGCAATTCATGAGGTTGGGTAAATGCGAGCACAGCCGAACGTACACAGTGGCTGGTCAACCGCTGCATCCCGCGTCTTTCGTGCGCGACCTCGGTGTGCTCTCACGCTGCGACTTAAAGTCCATTGTCAACACGAATAGGCTGTACCAAAACAGCCTTCGGATGATTTGGGCGCTCAGGCGTAGCTTCAGCACTTGGTCCGAAGAGATTGCTTCTCGCCTCTTCGTCTCGATAATAAGACCAATGCTAGAGTACGGCACTCCAGCATACTGTCCCATCACGCTGGGTGAGGTAGAGAAGCTTGAGCGAATGCAGCGTGTAGCCACCAGGCTGGTTCCCAACTTACGAGGTATGCCATACGAAGACCGATGTAAGAAACTAGGGCTGTACACCCTAGCATATCGTCGGCTGAGGGTTGACCTAATCATGACGCACCGGATATTACATCTGAGTGATTACCCCATGTTGAGACAACTGCTTCAACTGCGCGCACCAAGCATCACGCGAGGACACCGGTACAAACTTATCGTACCGCAGTTGAAGCGGGTAGCTCACCAACTCTGTTTCGAAGGTAGAGTGGTGAATACCTGGAACAAACTGCCGCATCCGGTAATAGAGGCCAATTCAGTGGCCGAATTTAAGAAGCTTCTAGACAAACACTTCGTAGAGGCAAAATATAAAGAGCGAAACGATAATTAATACGTTAATGCCCAAGAGCGACAACTGATGCAGCTACACAGAGTATGCTCTACTCGCAGCTTCTAATCAGTATCAGTATCATCATACTCCTCCTCCTCCTCCTCCTCCTCCTCCTCATCATCACCCTCACCATCAGCATCCTCATCCTCCTCCTCATCCTCCTCCTCATCATCATCATCATTATCGTCGCCATCATCATCATCATCATCATCATCATCATCATCATCATCATCATCATCATCATCATCATCATCATCATCATCATCATCATCATCATCATCATCATCATCATCATCATCATCATCATCATCATCATCATCATCATCATCATCATCATCATCATCATCATCATCATCATCATCATCATCATCATCATCATCATCATCATCATCATCATCATCATCATCATCATCATCATCATCATCATCATCATCATCATCATCATCATCATCATCATCATCATCATCATCATCATCATCATCATCATCATCATCATCATCATCATCATCATCATCATCATCATCATCAAGGTCGTCGTCGTCATCATCATCATCATCATCATCATCATCATCATCATCATCATCATCATCATCAGCATCATCATCATCATCATCATCATCATCATCATCATCATCATCATCATCATCATCATCATCATCATCATCATCATCATCCTCATCCTCCTCCTCCTCCTCCTCCTCATCATCATCATCATCATCATCGTCATCTCTCGCCATCATCATCATCATCATCATCATCATCATCATCATCATCATCATCATCATCATCATCATCATCATCATCATCATCATCATCATCATCATCATCATCATCATCATCATCATCATCATCATCATCATCATCATCATCATCATCATCATCATCATCATCATCATCATCATCATCATCATCATCATCATCATCATCATCATCATCATCATCATCATCATCATCGTCGTCGTCGTCATCATCATCATCATCATCATCATCATCATCATCATCATCATCATCATCATCATCATCATCATCATCATCATCATCATCATCATCATCATCATCATCATCATCATCATCATCATCATCATCATCATCATCATCATCATCATCATCATCATCATCATCATCATCATCATACTCCTCCTCCTCCTCCTCCTCATCATCATCATCATAACCAGCACTATCATAATCATCATCATCATCATCATCAGAAGCAGCATTCCTGTCCAACGATCTAGGGAATAATGCGCACCAGATTTACACAAGGCGGTGGCTGGACCGTAGTCCGCTTCACACTCCACCCTTTGAGTCTAGCCCGGCCATGAGCATCGTACACTCCGGCCACTCCAGCAACGATACACAGTCTATTGGAAACAATAATGGAGGTGGAAAGTGTTATACAGGTAGCCACCTCAAGAGTTACATCTAGCAAGGTTACAATGGGGATATCCGAAACGAACACAGAAGTTGAAGGAAACTAAACACGCAATATGGACACTGAATATGGGGCAGCAAAACAGAACTAAGTAAATCAAATAAAGTAGAATACTTTTTATCCAGATTAAGAAGCTCACATGTAACTGTAAGTTGGTGTATCCCAACTACTGTGAAGAAGTATGATGTATGCAAAATTAAACCCAGCTTGAAGCACACCATAGTTGGCGGCATCCGGTTTCGGATTTGCCTGTCACTGTGTCCAGCCACAGGACGCCTGCCCCTACAGAGGGAACATGGATGGCTTGCGCTGCACCACCCACAGCTCCATCCACATACCCCATATCTAGTGTAAACCTGAAGGAATAAGACCGGGGGGCATGTGGATGGGAGCCACGTTTCATCAACGGAGGCGGCCCACACTCCTTCACAGGCAAACACAAGCACGCTGTATTTGGGGAATCAAGCGCGCACAAGGCGGTGGCTGGACCGTACTCCGCTCCACACTGAGTGCACGGAACCACTGTTCGAGCCTGGCCCGATCACAAGAACCGTGCACCCCATCCCCTCCAGCAACGACCAACTGTCTCCTGGAGCCAGTATGGACGACGTAGTGGGTAAGAAACTGGTAGGTACCTTGTCAACATGCACATCAAGCGCAGCCACACCGGAGATATCAAGCAACAGTCAATCACCTGAAAAGACAAGATGAAATTGTTGGAAGTACAAGGAAAATACAGGTATGCTTGAGTAGCCGTTCATGACTGCAGACTTCTTTCTGCTATGGAGCTTCACCGATGTTTGCTTTAACGCATCATTTCGCCATACGTATTGGATATTTGGAGTCTCTGTTTTTGCCTTCGGATCGCACCTATACTCCGACGCCATAACTTACTTTACGTCTTTTGCGTGCATTTGATTGGTTCCTCATTTGCTCCGTTCTCCTTGGCTTTAACTGTTCGCATGCTTACCGTACTCTGGTTGGCTTTCATGCTTGTGCGTTTTGCTATATAACGAACTGGTTTCCCTATGTAAGAGAACCCTTAAATCGCTGTCCCTGGTCGTTGGTGTTCTCACTACCGTTAGTGAGTGGAAGCAGTCGCGGGGCTCCGACACAACAGAAATAAAATAACTCCAATAATGCACAGAATTAAGGTGGCATAACTCTTCGTTAAATTGGCATATGAAGTAAGTTGGTTAGCAACGAATCCGCGATAACTACAAAACGTCCACAAGTTATTCAATAAGTGTTACAAACTTGATAAAGTGAACGAATATAAGCGCAATTAGCGTAAACAATGTGTGCAAGTTAATAGAAGATTATTCTGGTAGACAGAAGAAACCAACTAAAGTGGAATGCGATTTATCCAGCTTAAAAAGACCTAGTTTAAGTGTAAGTTGGTTTAGTCCAACTGCGGTGAAGAAGCATCACGAATGCAACATTAGCTTCAGTACACCATACAGACATACGTACATGGTCCGGCCGGGGCGGCAATTTTATTAAAGTTGCTTGTTCGATAATAAATATAAAGGGCAGCATTTCTAAATATGCTGATTGTTGAATAGTTTAATGTTATCCTGTATCAAAAACAACGCCTTCGCCGTATACCAGAACTGTGCAGACTTTCCCAGCAATCCTCTTATTTATCCTATTGTGGTCACTTACACCACATTTACCTCAGTGTCCCAAACCATCATCCATTCCATCGGAAACTAATGTTCACTTCATCCTGAGCCGACTGCGTGACCTTCATGCGCCTATTCTGACCTCAGTCAGGGCGGAAATATTACCTCCGCCCCGGGCGGTAAAATAGTTTCTACGCCACTAGTCCTGACTATCAGACGCGTGTGCCTTGGTTGCGTCCTGTTAGTGGACTTCCTAGATAGAGTCCTCGGCCAGTTCAGTGTCTTCGCAGAATCATCGATTTTTACACTGCTCCCTCTTTAAACTCTCACAGGTTGTATCAATGGAAGCCCAAATAGGTTGGTTTTAGTCGTCGAAAATAGTTAGGTAAGCATTAAAGCAACTCTGCACGACAGTTGGAACGCGTCTACCTTGTACTGTCCACGAACTACCAAAGATGACTGGACAGCTAAGTACATAGCCCGCATTAGGTCTATCTGCGCCCCCCCCCCCCCCCCCCCCCCACAACGCCGTCTTGGTCCCGTGATAGCCACTTAGAAGTGCAGCTGACAGCATGTGATTTATTCGGCGCATACAGGTCGATAGCGGTGAATAGCTACTCAGTCATCTTCACGCTCGCTCGGCTACTCCAGCCATGGTAACTGTTTGCCAAAATCAAATAGAGTGGCGGTTCATTCAGTAACGGGGCTGATCGATGTGCAGTCGCGCTGACAATCGCCCTGAGGCTGGAATGACTGTAGCAGTGAGCTGGACTATCTTCGCGGAATTCAACTTTTCAAGCTGATGGGTGGCTTTTAACCTCCTGACGGGATTAGTGAATGAGCTGCCCCAGATGCACGCTAGGAGTTCTCAGATCTACGAGTTTGGAAGCATCAGGACGTAAGCCCGGTACAGCGCAGCGTTTCACTGATGTAGTTACACTTAGCTAGTGTAAACACCACACGGTTCAACAACGGGGACAAGAAGCCGCTCAATTGTACATTGTACTCCGGCCTTGTAGTTTCTGTCTCATGTTCAGCTTATCGAGTTATGCCTAGTTGGCGTCTATCCAGTGGAGCGCAGACGGTGTTGTTAGACAGCCGTAACACATATCTCGCCCGAAAGTCCTAGGCATAATCAGATCGTGCATTGATTTCGTTTCTCTGAAAGCTGGTGTGAGCAGTAGGTCCTTTGACACGGCCCCCCCCAACCGGCAGTTCGTAAAGTAAAATCTCAGCAACATATTTCGAATAAACGACTAATCAGCTACGTGATCAAATACCTACGGGCCAACAGCAAAACTTTGTTACTCCAACACTCTCCATCGTTAGCCTTCGTTTCGACCCTAGGTACCCATTTGCTTGTTCGACTATCACAAAGGATAGGGTAGTGTTGTAAATGTTGTCTAGTTCTCCGCGTCAGCCGCCTGCCGGTACTGCGTCGCCGTCTGCGATGTGGTCTTGCTCGGCTGTTGCGTACAACCAGAATAAGAAAAAGCGCAACACGAGCGAATGTATGCAAGTAGAAGCACTGTAGGAACAGTAGAGTTGCGATGAGGTTAGCAACCGCCATTGCGAGTTCCAAACGGCAAGGGGAAAGGGTAATGGATTCCAGCCCACTGCCAAGTTCCAAAAAAGTTGCATCGTCCAGACTCAGAAAACACGGCCATCTCATCGATAATGAGAAACAAAGGAGCACTAGGTGAAGGTGAATGGTATAAGATTCGTTAGATTTAGACTCAGTCAGACGGTGATCACGCTCGTTCCGTCCTTCCGAGAATCGCAAATGGTGTGCACCCGTCTGACCCTTGTGGGGCTAGAACCCGCAACTCGATCGTTGCCAGTCTGTAGTTGAGACCACCGCGCTACGACGGACGTAACGAGTGCCGTAACTCACTAAGGAGATGTGGCATAGGACCAGTAGCCATCCACTCCGTTGCGCACTGCTGACCATTCCCGAAAGGATGAAATGGTCCTACAGTGCTTTTTCAGCGTGTGAAGGTTACCTTGGTAGACGTGATGAATTCCTGCTATTCGACTCTCCATTCTACTCCTTTGTAATCTGTACACAGACGGAACTGCTTATAATGCCATGAGTTACTTGAGGGCTTAAGTTTTGTAAGTTCGTCGCCTGGTGAGGGGGCCACCCTGTCCTCTGCATGGTATTAAGTTACAAATCACTGAATAGTGAGCAGCGCCATGGCACATTTAGTAAAGTGGTCAGCATAGTTGTTGCTATCCCCTGTAGCGTAGTAGTCTCAACCAGACTGGCAACAGTCGAGTTGAGATTTCGAGCCCCAGAGACGACAGATGGAATGCGTAATGCTGACGATTCCCGAAAGGATCATAAGAAAGCTTGGCACGCATGTTCCTCAATCTGTGAGACCCGAACGCAAGTATGTTTACATTCCGCAGTACACTTGTTAGCAATTGCAAGCGATCTGTGGTTGTGCCATTGTATTGTTAGAAGAAGACAGGTGAATCTTCTCTCTGCGTAGCACAGCAGTGATGGGATATTCGCAGCGCTGTACATGATAATGCCTTGTACACAAACAGTTCTACTTCTGTCAACTGGATGACATGTGGAAGTTGTTGTGGATAAAAAGGCGCAACTTTCTCTTTCTAAACAATCGTGATTCGTCTGTCTTATCGTTAGCAGGTATTATTACGACGGCTGGGTCAT